TGAGGAGCTTGATCATCCGAAGCCTACACCTAACTGATGCAGATTCCTGGGACGAGGAGCTGGACAAATTGACTAGGATCTTCCTTAGCAATGGCTACCCAATCGCATTGAAACAAAGAAACATACGGGCCGTGAAAAGTCGATGGAAGAACGGGGACTATGAAAAAATAGTAAGGACGATGAAGGACTCAACAAAGTGGATTTGCCTACTTTACTGCGAACTACTTCAGAAACTATGACAAATATTGAGTAAACGGAATATTCAGGTGACCATTAAAGAGAAATTAACACTTTTCACAAGTCTACCAACGCAACATAAATGGGTATATCATGCGGCGCCTGCAGACAGAAGTATATTGACGAAAGAGGGAGAAAAATTAGCACACGAATCAAATAACATCAGAGGCTCTGCAGGAAAATTGATACCGACAGATCGGAACTAGCGGAACACATCGCACAGACTAGACACGAAATCAATTGGGAGGCAACAAAAATAAGAGCTCTATACGGTGACAACACAAGGAAGCGGAAGATTAGGGAGGCCACTGACCTCCTTGGGGAGACAAATCTAATGAACAGGAGATTGTAGGAAGGTAGAATTAGCGACAACTTTGCCTATTGCCTAAGCAAACTCGAGGAAAACAATAGAGTAATAAAAACAAAAAGAAGATGCCGGTATCAAGGATCTGTCGCTAACCGGAGGAAAAGGGATCGCGATGACGAAATTTGGGGGAGGGGTTTTCGGCAATAAAGCGAAGACGATGTCAGTGCGTAATGCCAATTTCGAATAAACTTTGGGGGCCTGGCAGTCAGGGCGCTCGGCAGACGGGTAAGCAAACCGTCACGGAAATTCGGCGTTATGGCCATAATGGACTAGAAATCCACTTGAGATGTCGCACACGACCAGAGATAGGTGCCCACAGTTTGCTCAGATAGCATGGGTTTAATCAAGGAGAGAACCCGTGAAGGAAAGACCTGACATCTGCAAGCATGCTCAGTGAAGCGACAGTGTACGTGCTTTTAGGGCCTTGAGAAATAGCGTCTGGAGTGAATTGCACACAGGGACTAGAACCGAGTAAAATCGGTCAACCAGAAAGATAAGGAGCAGATCTACGAGACAATGAGAGGATCGGGATTGGAAGCCCGAGTCGGATAAACCTTTGGAAAAAGACCGGTCGGGGTAAATAGCAAGTTTGATGAGGCCACACTCGGTTTGCCACAAAAGGGTACACATTTTGACGAGAGAAATGTAAACAAGTGAGAAGTTGTGATAGGGCGGAAGTGGGATAAGAGGGTAAAGTGTAGATAGATAAGACAGGACAAAAAGAGGAGTGATAGTGTAACCGTTTTCGGTAGAACGTTTGTCGAGGGATTGACTTCACATTTGTCTCTGACGAGTTCGTAGCTTGGTGCTGAGAATAACAAAACTCACTGATGATGCCGACTACGATGCCGGCGAAACGTTTAAGAATGTACCAAGTCCACTGTCAGATGTTGGGAATCATGACGACTACTGTGACAGAAGACTTCGGACTGGGTGCGTTCTACATAGTTACCCTGACAACAAGACCAAGTTGCAACAATGAGGTCAACCCACTTCTATATAACGAAAGGAGACTGCGACCATACCCGAGGCCACATCTTGGTCTTCCTATCTTCAATTAAATAGCTTATGCCTCTCAGTCTCCTAACTATTCTATAATTTTTGAATAGAATTGTGATAAAATCTAACAAAATCCCCTCAAAATGGCAAATCTCAACTAGATCTGGATAAAATGTAAAAAATTATGATAGTGAAGTGGTATTATAAGGGTACAGGGCAAGTGAATACAACAGGACAGAAGAAATACCACAACTATTTAGCGAACAATTGGTCAAAAAATAGACTTCGGTTATCTTTTGACGAGTTTTAGTGGCGCTAAGAGTGGCAAGACTCCCTGACAATGTCAGCAAAACGTCTGTGAATGTACCAAGTCCCCGGTCTGACTCTGGGAATTATCATGCATGTTATGGCCTCCGGACAGAGTGCATTTCTCTAGACCTACCGAGAAATACGACTAAGTGGCGAAAACAAAGTCAAATAGCGTCTATGATGACAACTTTTTATTAAAATCAGGTCCCAATTAAAGACAACTAAAAGAGTAAGGAAGTACAGGCCATTTAAGTTGTGTGTGCATAAACACCAGCCCATATTATCCGCACCTAGCGGATGTCCAAATAATCCTATATAGACTACTGGTAAAGTGGAGAGGGTCAATAGAGGATAGAATAGATAATATTATAAGTGTATAATATATACATCGCGGTGGATCGTATGTCAACAAAGGTATGCAAGTGCATGCAGTACCTGTCGAGAATGTGGGCTGCACAGGCTGTAAAGGACACGAGTTAACTCATCGCGCCAGATAGTCTAGACACAAATGTAGTCCAGCCGGCAGCCTCAAGGAATCGAGGGAGTAGAGAGAATAAGATTTCTTCGCATTCACAATTGTACGTCAGCCGAAATTCTTGCTTATAGCTCAATTACAATTGCTAAGAGATTGGGTAAAATCAATAAAATAATATGCACAACTGTTATATTCATTCGCACTATTTGATGGAATGAGAATAATAGAAGAGAAAGGTGATGGAACAAATTTGCACTTAAAATATTCTAGACTGAGTCAAGAAGAAAGGCTTTTACTTGCTCATACAAGACAAATAAAGAGGTGATCTACCAATGTGCCTGCACAAAGCAGAAGCGGGAAAGAGATGAAGGCACGTTCGATGCTGGAGGATGATAAGACACCTAACAAGTTCTAATAAAAGCGCTGGCGGTGGATAGACAAACAGCAAACCCAATGAATGATAATTAAAATGCATAAATAGACGAGCAGCAAAAGATCAAGAGCTCCAGCAAATGAGGAGCGGATATGGGACATCTCAACAGAAGGCTGCAGTAACATCTTGGCTAGACCTATTTAAAATAAGGTCAAGACGATTGAAGATTTCCACATGATCGCATTCTAACAAGAAAAAAAAGATGAGATACTCACTCATAGATGATAACAGATGTAGGATTACTTAAACTACTATGCTTTTATATGGGTATCTAATAAACGAATAAAGAAATAATTAGGCAAAAATAAACGAATCGGGACGAGGTAACAATTGTTTTTTTATTGTTCGCACCAGCAAAAATAATATCTATGTACTATGTGAAACAAAAAATAGCAGGATGAAAAGAGTGTTTATTAGCGCCACCGGGCAAGACCAAAATTTAGTCCATGCTAGTGTACTTTATTGGGATTTTACATTCGAGTCGAAGTGGTCCGAGATTAGGTTAATAGACGAGGGTGACAGGTAGGACAGCCGAACCGTAAGTGTGAGTATGCACTCAACTTGAGAATGCGTCGTGGCCTCACAAAAGTAACTATGCATTTTTATATGAAGACGGAGGATTCATATTTATATAAATAAGAACTTAATAATAATCATGCCCATCAAGAGGCAAAAGCACATTAGTATTTCCCATCCACAAAAGATAAGCTTTGAATATTTTGGACGCTAGGTGATTCTTCATGGACTGTTAAGTCCAGAAAAAATATTTATTTGGCATGAAGTTTGTATAGCAAAACAATAAGCAATATCAAAGAATGATAGAAATTGGAGAAAAAAGAGGAAGAGTGAAAAAATGAGCGAGATCTTAAGGTTGCACATGACAGGGAGTGGAAATAAAAATTAAATTAAGTAAGCTCACTAGCAAAAGGATTTCACAATAAGCGCTCGAGTGGAAAGTATAGCTTTGCGAAGCATAAAGCTAGTGCCAGTTCACAATGGGCTATAAGCAGTGAACAATGAGCATGACTATAACACTTGGAGAG